GTCGGCTGTCATCAGCTGTCATCAGGGTGCTGCTCTCAGGGAAAATTAATATTAGAGGCAAACGGATGTGTTTGTTTTGTAAAATACACTGGTATTTTGCAAACAGTGTCATCTATGACACTGTGAGCAAAAGAAAATTCCAAAGATAAATGAAAAATACATGTGGACACATGTGTTTGTACTCTTGAACATAATTGATGACATGAAGATAATATGATTCAGCAATAGTATTTACTTAAGTAATTAACAAGGTTTCTTTATGTTAATCTATCAAACTGCCATTCATACTTTTACAGAAGAGGAACGTGGAATATGGTAACGTTATTGTATGAAAGAAAAATGAATAAAGAAAACCCTTAAAATACAGTTTTATTCAGAATACTGTTAAAAACAACATCCACTCGGAGAGCGCATACCCCGCTAAGGCCATGGAATATCTCGAAGTGGGTTTTCCTGTCTAGATCCCATTTACAAAACTTTCAGCTCTACATCTAGTAGTTTTTGCACAATGCTGCATACTGACAAACAGACGGACCACATCACCCCTTGGCAGCTGAAACATCCAGGATTGTACCATCACATCTTTTCACTAAAACTAATGGGGACGTTCAAACTTTCGAAAATGTGATTGCCATAACCGTTTGTATTTAATTCTGTTAGTACACGCTTGTATTATCATAATGATCAGTCTTTTTTCCACACTGGCCTTGTATTGTCCCATTGCACAACCCACATAAGCCAAATAAAATTAACTCTCCATTGTTGCCAGTTCCACATGCAGCAGCTTCCTGTGTGCACAAATGTCCTCTGGTCATTTAGTGTCGTTATTCTGATTGACCCTGGGCAGTTGTAGCCTCCTCCGTAATCACTGCTCATCATGATAATCAGCCCGACCTTCAGAGAGCAAAGGAGAGAGCCGCACAAACCAGAGCGCTCCAGTCACACACAATGACTCAGTGATGTTGTTGCAATTACTGTATATGAGCAGAACGCACAGATGCTAAAAGTCCGGCTCGTTTTGAAAAAAGATAAACATGTCGACACGTTTCAATCTGATTTGTGAGTGAAGTGTGATGGATGGTGTTTGTCTGGCAAGTCAAGAGAAAAGCTTTTACAATACTTCAAAAAGACACATTATATTCAATTTGTTTTCAGCTTCCAACATTCATAATTGACAGGTAAACTCACCATTTACTGCCCTGTTGTGCAAATGTTTTAGGTTTTGTTTGTTTCATTATCACACAAGTAGCTTTCATAAATAAAATTAACAAATACATAAAAATTATTACTGTACCCAAAGTCACTGTCGGAGCGGGTATGGACAATGGTGAGAGAGACATGGTGGAGACGAGCAAACAATGTCTTCTTTTTCTATCTTTGATTTTCTGTTTTTTTGTTGTGTAATTCTTGTTTTGTAACCGTTTAGCAGAGCACACGGATGATGAGGACGCCCTCGTAAAAGAGATGATTCATCTCAAGGGGTAATCCATATTAAATAAATATGGATTATTGTGGTTTTTTCGCCGTGGTTAGGGGATGTTAGGGGAACATTCACATTCTAGGGGAACATTCTAGCCAATTGAAGCTGCAAGAGTACTGAAAACCTGAGTCTTGTTTTACCCTTGTGCTGTCCTCGGCTCAAAATTAACCCGACAGTGATTAAAAATACCCTGAAAACAATTTTGAGCTGAATTCTGATGATTTTTCCCAACTTGACTGGTCCTGAGTCATTTTGACCCGAGGATAGCACAAGGGTTAAGCAACATGTTAACAAATTCAACCACAATCTGCAGTCTTCATCTTATTAGATACTGAGAGCTGATTGGCTGAGTGAAGGCTGGTACTCAATGTGCAATGACACAGACCAAAAATACATGCATGTGAGAACTAGTGATAGAACCAAACTGCTCCAAGGGCTGGAGCTACAGTAGTGACATGGATTGTATTATTGTTTAAAGATAATTCTGGTAGTAGCTGGCATGTTAAAAGGGAGTGTTCTGTATGTACATAAAAAAAATAACCATAACACATTGTATGCAGATGTCAAGGTTTTCAGCTGTGAGTGAGCAGGCATCGTCACACTGAAGTCTTCATCCATCTGAAAACTGCCTCTGCATATTGCTATGAAAAGTATTTTTTTCATGTAGTAAACAAGAAGAAGCTGAAGAACCCTATATCCTCTCCACGGTAACTTAAATAACAGACATTTTAAAACACACATGTCACTTTCATACTTAACTGTGAAGTTTATTTGCACTCACCACAGGCAGAAACTTATCTATGCACTTTTATCATTTTAAAGTGAATTTGGTGATTGATGCAGAGCTGTTACAATAGATACAAGTGCATTTCCATACATTCTTACAGGCTACACACCATCATTACTATTACAGACTGTATACACTTGTGGGATAAAAAAAAAGTGTTTTTTTTTTTTTTTTTTTTAAATGTTCTCCAAGTTGTATTGAAATTATTTTAGTAGTAAGAATTTGGATAAAATGCCATTTTCCATTTTCCAGACCCCTCAAGAGTGGAAGGAAATTAGAATGTGTGGTTTCAACCATAAATGTGGTTCCATACAAAAATAAATTAAAAAAATCCCTGTGTTAAAAATACTAATCATTTTAAATGCATTTTCTCTTTTAATTGAACTAAACCGTCCCCAAAGGGATTATTACAGTAAAGTATATTGTAACAAAGCATGTTATGTCAGTCTCCCCCATAGGCCACATACTAGGATCTATAAACAGTCCATGATTTTCCAAAAGGCCATGACCAAAACATTGATTTCCTTAAAAGATTGAACCTAAAGTCTTTTATGGAACCAACTGTGCAGGACATAAACAAACTTCCAATGTCTCAGAGTGTCTTGAATGGGCAGTTCTTCCTTTTGCATATTTTTTTTCTGAAATGTCGGATGAACTCACTCAGTTCAACTCAATGCTCTCTGGAAACACTTGTGAAGTTAGAAGGTAAAAGCATTGGCGTACAGAAAGGAATAAGAAACAGTCCACTATCAAATCCATCATTTTTTCATATTGAGCAAAAAAGTGGGAAATAGTTCCAGTTCCAGTGCTGCAGTACAGCTACTCAACAGGAGGAGGCCTTTCTACAGAGCGAGGAAACTGATGGAATTAATTGTTCAAGTCACCGCAGTTTTGATCCCTTAATATGTGTGAGATATTTATAGATTCAACCTCACATGTGGACTAACACCATTCTTAACACTCCTTCTGGTCGGTCTCGTGTACACGGGTGACACTGGCAAACTTGGCAGGAGCGCATTGTATCGAGCAATAGTCATTTTTAGAGCTAGTTTTGCCATTTGTTGAACTCACCATAAGATTTCACTAAACCTGAAATGTTTCAATTCCTCCAGGTTGTCTTTAGTAGCAGCACACAGCCTGATAAAAGCAGAGCGCTGCTTATTGTAATACCCGTTTAACAGCTTCTAAAAACAAATGCAACCAATCTGAAATCCAAAAGGTGCTTAAGCAGCTTTCTAAATGTTCAATAAGTAACAGTCAAAGAGGTGAACACTTAGTCCAGTAGACAAACAAAATACTATTTGTTATATTACACAAAGGGGTGCCCTAATCTGCCCTGGGGAGACCTGCCATTTTTGTAGAGATACCTGCTCCTTGCCATAGGTATGTTATTGCTTTGATTGAAATATTCAACATGAACATAGCCTCTCCTCAGATATAACCAATGAGTCACATGTTTCCAACATATTACACAAGTTGACAGCCAAAAAATGGTCAGGGGTTTCTTAACTGATTTAGACTAATTTTGGTGTTCTGAGTCCGAATATCACATGCATTTTGCTCTATCAGGTCAACTTTTTGAGATACAGCCATAGTGTTACGGATTACGTACGTCTACGTTATTATGAATTCTGCTTATCAAATTTGATGGAGTAAATAAAAACTGAATGACTTTGGATACGTTGACTTTTATTTCTTGAGGAAAATAGAAAAAACGTCAAGGGTTTCTCAGCTGATGATCCGCAGAAATTTGTTTTTTACGCAAAATCGATTTAAAAAAATATTTCTGTAGCAAAAAATCCTGACCTGATTGAGAAAAACCAAGGTCATTTTCGGACTCAGAGCATCAAGATTAGTCTAATTCAGCTGGAAAACCCTGGACTATTTTCAAAAAATATTTTTTTGTTACCCAGTGTTATAGCTGAGAAACGCACATTTAGCAATTCTCCTTGTCGTTTATAGAAGTAAAATTAAACTAATGAAAAACAAGATCCTTCTTTTGATGCTCAATCTGAAAAATGTCAGAAAATCACAGTCCCCGTAAAGTAAACTTGCTTCTTAGGCAGTTCTCATTCACAGGACTTGCTAGCACAGTTAAGTTAAATAGTGTCAATAACGTCCTCTACACTCCGCAACCGCAGCAAGGGCTACTTGACAGCAGCCACAGTCAGAAGAGTTTGTCCTCATGGTCTCTGTGGCTGGTTTGGTCAGACGCAACACTTTGTTTTTCAAACCTGCCAGCCGTCCTTCTATTGTTTAATACAAGTGCTGTGTGAGTCCGTGGAGCTGATCTAGAGTCAGAGACCATTAGCACAAACATATTTCCTGTGAAAATATACTTTGTATTTTGGGCAGTTGCTCGCCAGCGCGTTGCTGTGTGGTGTGCGCATATCTTAAATCAGCCCCATGGCCTCCAACACGCGCCGCTGCACGAGCCTTTCTGCTCCGAAAGACGCTTGTGGTGTGTAGGGGACGTGAACGACAGAGACATGTCCAACATGACACCGTTAGGATTTCGGGTCTCCATCAATCGACGCTTGTTCTTGTGTCCGTGTCTCCCCCCTCCTCACACAGAGCTCTCATGTAATGTCCGTGTCTCCCCCCTCCTCACACAGAGCTCTCATGTAGTGTCCGTGTCTCCCCCCTCCTCACACAGAGCTCTCATGTAGTGTCCGGTTTCAGAGGCACAAGAGTCAGTGCAGAGACGCGTCCGCAGAGCGAGGGGAGCAGGCGTTACCAGATGTGAGATTCACAGTGAGTCATTTTGATCACGCCCACACCGCCGCCGAGACGCCGATAGTTCATTCCTCCATATAACCTGGACACAAAATTAATATGAGCCAGTGGGTTTGGGGAAAATTGGAATATTCCAAGTTAAAATGTGTGAACACGTCAACCAGACACAACTTATTATAAAAACACGTCAAGTTGGAATAAAGATTTTCACATGTATATTATATTCATGCTCATAAATTAATTAATATCTGCAAATGTTCTACATCTCCGGGCGCTTTGTTCACTATATATTCCAGTCTATCAAAAAACTAGTTTGGCTGTCATTAGTAATTATTTAGTACTTGTCAAAGGATGATGCACCAAAAGTCAGTCAGAATTATCTATTCTTGGAAAAAGACATGCAGACATGTGAATGAAGCAGAGGAACAGTGTAAAGTCCTTGGTCCTCATTATCTTGTCTCATTTGCCTACGTGTTTCTTTCTCAGGGCAACACAGTCCTGTTTGTAAGAGACAGTTCTAGACTCACTCGCACCCCTCTAAGAAATCTATTTGTGGTAAGTGTACTTTGATACGAGTTTGCCAAAACAAAGAGTTGCATACCTACAATTATTTATTTTATTTTATTTCCATTTCCTTTAACGTCATCAATAAAACACTTACCTCCAAGTATTTGCATCTGGATCATACACTTCTATAGTTTTTAAATATGTCGTCCCATCAAAGCCTCCTACTGCCATCAACTGCCCGTTCACCACCGCAAGCCCCACCTACACAAACAAAGAACGAGACAAAAAACATTTTTCACTTTAACTATATCTAACAGAGACAACGGTTTAAGAGAATGAGACCAACATACTGAGGCACTCACTAAATACATTTGAACACAAGGTTTCTCAGACACGCACCAATCAATCCAAAACCCTAACTCTAACTCTAGGCTGGTGCTAATGGGAAACAATTAAGGCTCTAAAAATCAACTGCTATGTCTGAGTGTGAACTGCTGAATGTCCCGCTAAAACTGTTTGCAACTCATCAACTGTTCAAAAATTAACAACATAATAATTTACAACTTTTATAGTAGTTGATTAATCGTAAACCGCTCTACAACTGCACTCCAGCACACGCATGTGCTGAGTCTATGAAGATACTTCACATGCTTAAGATGTTGGATTACATTACAAAATAATAATAGGCAATTGTAGTTGGAAATTGGAGGTTGACAGTTTATCAAAATATGTACAATATTGCAACTGTTGTTTTAGAGAGATGCATTTTAGATGATTAAATATTTATATAAAATATAAAGTTTCTGGTAATAAACCAAAACTGACTGGTTTTATCAAGATCACCACAACAAACAGATTTGAGCCGATGTGATTATTCATGTAACTTTATATCTATACTATACTATACTATCAAACTAAACATGCAGTGACAGACACCCACCCCGCTTCTCCTGGACGTCATGGCGACCACCGGAGACCACTGGTTGGTCCTGGGGTTGTAGCGTTCCGCGCTGCTCAGCTCCGTGGTGTCGTCTCTGCCTCCCACAGAGTAGATCATGTCCTGGTACACCGCACAGCCCAGGTGCTTCCTCCTCGTGCCCATTGGAGAAACCGTGTGCCAGCGGTTCTCTTGGGGGTTGTAGCGCTCGACTGTGAAACATCAACAGTAGTGACCGTGTGCTACGGAAACAGCAATATTAACCGTCTCAAATCTGAAGTTACAATTATATAAGAGCTGTGTAAAAGAAAAAAAAAATAGCTTTTTTTTTAACTTTGGGCGGCACAGTGGTTGAGTGGATAGCACTCTCACTTCTCAGCAAGAAGGTTCTGGGTTTTAATCCTAGTCGGAACAGGCAGTTTCCTCCGGGTGCTTCAGTTTCCCCTACCACTGAAAACGTGTACAATAGAATTGATCCTCCAGATCCAATTAACATCTGGAGATGGGTCTCAGGCAGAGAAGATTTTTCAGCAAACTTCAATAAAATGGATGATAATGCACCAATAATGTGGTATTTTTACAATGGGGCAGAGCAGCACAGCCAAACACCTTTATTTCAAACTGAATTGTATTGAATAGTATCAAATTTAAGAGTTCCATGAATCCAGGCATGTACTGTATTGTATTGTGGCCATTGTATTCAGGAACTTGTTGCCAAACATTAAAATACACAAATGACTTTACAGGATAGAACAAAGGCACAAATGTTTCAGATTATTATTCTGTGCTGGAGTTTCACTATTATGCTGTATTATAATGTCTCAACACTCCACATATCTTCCAATCAGCTTATACCCACCAGTATTCAGTGGTGACGTTCCATCCGACCCCCCCACTGCGTATAGAAATCCTCCCAGAACCGCCACTGCCACGCCCAGTCGCCTGGTGCTCATGGAGGCTACGCGGGTCCATTTGTTTTCCTTTGGGTCATACCTGCGACACACACATTCAACCATGAGAAAAAGACAAAGTGACGTTTACAAAGACAAGGGTGTGCAGTTCTATTGACCTTTCTACTATGTTCAAACAGGACACTCCATCTTGTCCGCCGACTGCGTACAGGTAGCCTCCCAGCACAGCCACGCCCACACTGGTGCGACAGGTGCTGGTGGGGGCCACGTCACTGCTCCACTGATTGGTCTTGGGATCATATCTGACATGGAGAGCAGAAGAGTAAGGACACGGTGCAGAAGAGACAAAAAGCTAATAAAGTAACAAAAATCAAGGCAATCTGAGTAGTTGGGGAGGGGGCTGGGGTTCTCAATTTGTTTGGGAAACCCCCTCAAGTGTCATAACAGGCCAATTCCTTTTAAATGCTGCCTTTATGTGGGTATGCATGTGTAATATTAAAATCCTTAAGTTCAATCAAATATATTTCAGCATAGACCTAAATCATAACAGAAATCGTCTCAGAGGATTTTATAAAGTAGTTGATTCGCAAGCAACAAATCAGAGAATCAAACTGTTCGAACTCAGGAAGTGCAATAGCAAACACACAGGAGCCATGGGTCCATAGGGAGTGGGATGACCCGCTCATTTGCGTTTTATCCAAATTAGTGAAACACAGTGGACAGCTTTTTATAAATTTTATACTTTTATCTAAGCAGGAAAATCCCACAAATTTCAGAATCCCATTCAGGGGAGTCCTGGCCTTAGAGAGAGGAGCTAATGTACATGTTTTTTACCGTAAAGGTAAACCGGAGCACCTTAAGGAAACCTACACAGAGGGTCCACTCAGAAATGCCCTGTCTCGAGGTGGAATTGAACCCAGTTCAAATAATCCATTGTTAAAAGTTATAGAATAGTTATCAAAGGAACAAATGATTACAATAAGTTCAATCATAAACTGAGCCAATAATCCTAAATGTAGAAACTTGGTAAAAAGTTGTGCGATTTAATCATTTATTGCCTCTTCCTTGGTGTAACTCATGATGAAGCTAAAGCCATAGCACTCATGTTATGGTATAGAAAGGCTGACCTCTCCACAGAGTTGAGGTACGATGATCCGTCATGACCCCCAACCGCGTACAGTAGGTCGTCCAGGACACTGACCCCCACTCCACACCTGCGTTTACTCATGGAGGCCACCATCCTCCACTCGTTTGTCTGAGGGTCGTATCGCTCCACGCTGGAAATGGCATCTCCACTGCACCAGCCGCCGACTGAGGGCACAAGGGCATGTTAGCTCCGGGGTTTGCCCCCTGGAATGCTCCAAGAATTGTTTTGCCGTTCATTATTACTGTTGTTGCTTAAAACAGAGGGACATTTGTAGGGAAGAATATATTTGCAACGCTGTTTTCTGAAATGTAAATCATAGTTTTTTTGTTATCACTATTTTTGATATATTCTGTGTCATTGGTCTGTGTTGAGTGGGGGAGGGGGAGGTTGCTTTATCCAACCTCTTTACAAAAGAGTATTATTCTTGTGTCTCATTATGTAAAATTATGTTGTACTCTTTCAAAACCTGTTCTACTAGTTAATAGGAATATCTTCATTTGTATAGCACATAAACAACACCAGCCGCCTCAAGTGCTCCACGTGTAGAACAATGGTAAAAAAGAAAAACAGCCTGAAATTTACACTAATACATGTATAATATATAAGACATTGCACAAGTTTAAACTGACCTGCAAACAGTACTTCTCCGCAGCGTATGGGTTTCCTCGGTCGAGTTCTGGGTCCCTGCATCAGTGGTCTCTCCTGGGGCAGCAACAGGTAGTTTTTGGCTTCATCAACCAAATCTCTGAAACAATACATTGACCAATTACACATTAGTAACTTTTTGTGAGGTTGTTGCCAAAGAGAATGTACAAATGTTACATAATATTTCAGTATTTTCACTTATTCTATGATGAAACCAAAGGAAAATCACATGCTTAATACTTATAAAGGGTCCACTTTTCTCAGCTTTTGGCTATGGTATAGTGCTTTTCCTGTGTCATTTACACACAAACACAAAACCATTTTAGCGGCTTATTTATCCTGAGCGCTGCTGTGACGGGGCCACACAGCTTGTCCTAGTACTGAGAGCACCGCACTGGGACGCGCGCTCTTTTTCTCTGGAGCGTCCGTGTTATGCACGTACTACAGCAGCGTTTACATATTACCCACGGCTAGTTCTCTGTCTGGGGGGGAGTGTGAGTGCGTTTGATGAGATCTCGGGTGCACACTAGGTCTCACCGTCGTGCTACTCACCGTTCGCGTGTGCGCGCACGTGCGTGCGCTCCTTGGGACTGCGCGCGCGTGTGTCCCGTGGGTTGGCCAAACAGAGGCAGAGACGCACACACACATTATAAGTGTTGAGGAGCGTCATGTGATCCTTATTTTGTGTTTTTGTTTCTTATGACTGTAAAGGGGGATTATTCAGTGTGGGGATTATCCTATTTTTTACTGTGTAGTGGGGGACTATTTCTATAGTATTGTTTTGGGGGTAAATGGACTTTAAAGTCAGTGAATGTATTTTGTGTTTGTCAAACGCCCAGGGGAGGGGCTTGTGCTTTAAGAGCAGGACCGGTCTGGCCTGCTCGAGTTTAGTGATGCTTGGTTGCAGAGAAGGCAACACCTGAGAACCTGAGATGAGCATGCGCCTACAACTTGTAAATATTGCACTGTATTGCACTGGGATAATAATGGGAAATAATAAATCACTGTGAAAAGTGTTTTTTGACTGAGCCATTGTGTTTTTGGGAAAAGACCCCACAACATATGGTGTCAGAAGTGGGATGGCCAGTCAGAAGAAGCATTCTTATTTTCCGCGCAAACGCACCGGAGTCAGGTCACAGAAGACTGAGAGTTTGTCTTTGGGGGCCACCGGGGGAATAGAGCGAGATGAAGATGCCTGGGCGACGGAGGACGAAGAGGAGCCCTCCTCCAGTGGCCAACCTCCATCCGATGGATCAGGAGGGGAGCTATTGGCACTGATGCGGGGCTTCCTGGAGGGACAGCAGAGGAGGGAAGAAGGTCTGCTCGCTGAGCTCAGAGAACTCCGAGCATCAGGGCCACAGCGGGCTGGTTCCCCAGATGGAGATCGCTCATCCGCTTGGAGTCCACGAATCGACCTGCCCACTCCTGCACCTCGGCAGCGTGGCCAAAACTCCATGAGAGAGAGAAGCGGGGTACTGGAACAACCGAGACCAGAGGTCAGATCGTACAGTGACCCCAAAATTCCACTGTATCAGGTTGGAGAGGACATTGAGAACTATCTCCTGCGCTTTGAACGCATTGCAAAGACATGGGCGTGGCCAGAGAACGAGTGGGCTTGCCGCCTGGTTCCCCTGCTTACCGGCAAAGCATTAGAGGCGTATACAGCAATGGATGAGGAGCAAGCTCATTGCTATCCAGAGCTCAAAGCTGCACTGCTGGAAAAATTTGACATTTCCCCAGAGACATATCGTCAGCAGTTTAGGTCAACCGTTGTCCCTCCGAATGAAAACCCAACTGAAACGTATCACCGTCTGATGTCCCTTTATCGACGCTGGATCCATCCGGAGCTACACACCAAGGAGGATATAGGAGAGGCTATCATCCTGGAGCAGCTACTTCGTGTTCTTCCGGGAGAGGTGAGAACGTGGGTGAAGGAACATGAACCAAAGAATGGGCTGGCAGCTTCCAAGCTGGCTCTCCAATACTTCAATGCTCGGAAGGGGAGCATGACGTCGTACTCCAGCAGCTCTGCTCGTCGACCAGCACCGCCGCCCAGATTGGTGAGACCAGAGGCCAGCCATGATACTCCTCCAGGTAACTCCGGACACCCCTCAAGTCGACCAGGATACGGTAAGGAGCTTATCTGCTTTTACTGTCAACAATCAGGACACAAGGCCTCACTCTGCCCTATCCGTAAAACAAAGCTCTCTGGTGCATGTTACGCGCCACGGCCTGAAAGAGACAGACAGACTGTGACTTTGAGACGGCATAAGCCTCTGGTAGTAAATGGACAAAGAGTGAATGCTTTGTTGGACAGTGGCAGCTTCATGTCTCTTGTAAGGCAGGATCTTGTACCAGTGAGTAAAATAGACTATGGGGTGCAGGAGGACATTGTATGTGTACATGGTGACAGACACCTCTATCCAACCACTGACTTGACTGTGGACATTGATGGGCAAACCTACCTGCTGACTGTGGGGGTTGTGGAGAACCTGCCGGTTCAGGTAATACTTGGCTGGGACCTACCCATACTACTGGACTTGTTATTGGACAATAGACATGACCCAGAGGAGAAGGAGACAACCAGTCAATCCTGTGCGGTACTGACTCGGGCGCAGGCTAGGAACAATCTCCAGGTGGCATCAAAGACATTGGACTCGGGGGCAGGGGGTAGCCTGAATCCAGTTGGTGATAGTTTACCTGATCTACCATTTTCTTTTGATGACAGTGTTTTTGAGGGGGGTTCTAAAGGGCTGAGAAAGTCTCGGCGTCAGCGCCGTTTTGAAAAGCAGCTGCACAGGGAGTGCCCAGACGAGCGGGGGGAGATTAAAGGCCATTGGGAAGTGCCAGGGGACATTTCAGAGTTACAGAAGGGTGATAGTACGTTGAAATCGCTGTTTTCAAAGGTGATTAACAGTGCAAAAGAAGCTAAATTTGACCAGGAATGTTTTGTACTTGACAATGATGTGTTGTATAATGTGGGGGAAAGTTCTAAACGGCTGGTAGTACCTTCCACCGCAAGACCACTTGTTATGCACCTTGCACATACTATTCCGTGGGCGGGGCACTTGGGCCGACATAAAACCTATCTCCGTGTTAGCTCTAGATTTTATTGGCCATCCATGTATTCCGATATACAGAAATACTGTGCTTCGTGTCCAAGTTGCCAAAAGACATGCTTTGTCCGCAAATCTGACCGAGCTTTCCTTCAGCCTTTACCCGTCATTAACATTCCCTTCCGCCGCATAGCCATGGATATTGTTGGACCCCTCCCGAAAAGTAGCCGAGGTTTTCAGTATATCCTGGTTATTTCAGATTATGCCACCCGTTTTCCGGAAGCGTTTCCTCTGCGAACAATAACTGCTCCCGCGGTTGTGCGTGCTCTCATTCAGCTGTTCTCCCGTGTAGGAATCCCTGATGAAATTCTGACAGATCAGGGTACGAACTTCACCTCTCGGCTCATGCAGCTTTTCCATAAGCAGCTGGGAATCTCTCCACTCCGAACAACACCGTATCATCCTCAAACTGATGGTCTCGTTGAAAGATTTAACCAGACATTGAAGAAGATGCTGCGAAAGTTTGTATCAGACACTGGCAAGGACTGGGACCAGTGGCTGCCATTTTGTCTATTCGCCTATCGAGAAGTGCCGCAGGCCTCGACCGGGTTCTCGCCATTTGAGCTCCTCTACGGCTGGGATGTTCAAGGTCCCCTGGATCTCCTGCGTAAAGGCTGGGAGGAAGCCACCCCTCAACCCAATGAACGAAGCATTGTACAGTATGTCCTGGACATGAGGGATAGGCTGGGGAAGTACCAGGAGGAGGCAGAGGTGAACCTGCGGGATGCCCAACGCAGCCAAAAGACCTGGTATGATCAGCAGGCTCGTCATCGGGAGTTCCAGGCTGGACAAAAGGTTCTCTTGCTGCTGCCGTCGGCAAACAGCAAACTATTGGCGAAGTGGCAGGGGCCTTACACAATTGTTCGCAAAATGGGCCCTGTGACGTATGAGGTGCATCATCCAGACAAAAAGAAGTCAAAACAGACTTATCATGTCAACTTACTCAAGGCGTGGAAAGATGCACCACCTTCCTTGCAATCCCTACTGGTGAAGAAAGTAGACTCAGATGAGGAGGAGTTGGGGATGGAGTCCCTGCCCAAATCTGCAGTTCCCGTGTTGGCCCACCTCACTCCAGAGCAGACAACACAGTTGTTCCAGGTTTTTGAAGAAGCTCCATCCCTGTTCCAAGCCAAACCTGGACGGACTACTTTAGTAGAGCATGTGATCCGCTTGAGAGAGGGACGCCCAATCCGCCAACGGTCATATCGCGTTCCACAGCACCTAGTCAACAAGCTCAGAGAGGAAGTGGAAGAGATGCAGCGGTTAGGAGTCATTGAGCCGTCTAATTCTGAGTGGTGTAGCCCAGTAGTGATAGTGCTGAAGAAGGATGGTTCCCTCAGGATTTGTATTGACTTCCGCAAACTCAATGCAATTTCAGAGTTTGACGCCTACCCCATGCCGCGTATTGACGAACTGCTCGAGCGCATTGGAAGTGCCCGGTATATCACCACCCTCGACTTGTGTAAGGGGTACTGGCAGGTGCCCTTGGGGAAGTCCAGCCGACCTTTTACCGCCTTCCAGACACCAGCCGGGCTCTTTCAATTTACTGTCATGCCCTTTGGACTGCATGGAGCCCCGGCCACCTTCCAAAGATTAATGGACAGAGTCCTCCAAGGGTGTGGTCAGTGCAGCGCGGCCTATCTGGACGACGTGGTGGTGTTCAGTCACACCTGGGAGGAACACTTGAACCACTTATCTTTGGTTCTGGGAAAGATTCAGGAGGCTGGATTGACCCTGAATCCTTCAAAGTGTGAGTGGGCGAAGAAAGAGACTCAGTACCTGGGCTATCGTCTTGGACGGGGTGAAGTGCGGCCGCAGGTTGATAAAGTGGAGGCGATTCGCAACTGCCCCAGGCCCCGGACGAAGAAGGACGTGAGGTCCTTTCTGGGATTATCGGGCTGGTATCGCCGCTTTGTGCCACAGTTCGCCTCCATTGCAGCACCCCTCACATCATTGACAATGAAAGACCAAAAGAACCCTGTAGTGTGGACCGATGCCTGTGAAACTGCTTTCCAGACGCTAAAGGCTAGTCTCTGTTCTTCACCAGTTTTGAAAAGCCCTGACTTCACCAAACGGTTTCTGCTCCAAGTGGACGCTTCAGCTGTGGGCCTTGGGGCGGTTCTCGCGCTGGGGAGGAGCAGCCAGTCCTATATTTGAGCCGCAAACTGTTGCCGAGAGAGACTCGCTATTCCACCGTAGAAAAAGAGGGCCTGGCAATAAAGTGGGCATTGGACAGTTTACGGTACTATCTCTTAGGTAGAGAATTTGATTTAGAGACGGACCACCGAGCACTAACTTGGATTAACACTATGAGAGATCAGAACAGCCGTCTGACGCGCTGGTATTTGTCCCTCCAACCATTCCAGTTTCAAATTCGCCATCGGGCTGGGAAAGACAATATCGTGGCAGACTTCTTGTCAAGGCTACCGCACATCGCTAGCCTCCCAGAGGGGGAGGGTAATGTGACGGGGCCACACAGCTTGTCCTAGTACTGAGAGCACCGCACTGGGACGCGCGCTCTTTTTCTCTGGAGCGTCCGTGTTATGCACGTACTACAGCAGCGTTTACATATTACCCACGGCTAGTTCTCTGTCTGGGGGGGAGTGTGAGTGCGTTTGATGAGATCTCGGGTGCACACTAGGTCTCACCGTCGTGCTACTCACCGTTCGCGTGTGCGCGCACGTGCGTGCGCTCCTCGGGACTGCGCGCGCGTGTGTCCCGTGGGTTGGCCAAACAGAGGCAGAGACGCACACACACATTATAAGTGTTGAGGAGCGTCATGTGATCCTTATTTTTGTGTTTTTGTTTCTTATGACTGTAAAGGGGGATTATTCAGTGTGGGGATTATCCTATTTTTTACTGTGTAGTGGGGGACTATTTCTATAGTATTGTTTTCGGGGTAAATGGACTTTAAAGTCAGTGAATGTATTTTGTGTTTGTCAAACGCCCAGGGGAGGGGCTTGTGCTTTAAGAGCAGGACCGGTCTGGCCTGCTCGAGTTTAGTGATGCTTGGTTGCAGAGAAGGCAACACCTGAGAACCTGAGATGAGCATGCGCCTACAACTTGTAAATATTGCACTGTATTGCACTGGGATAATAATGGGAAATAATAAATCACTGTGAAAAGTGTTTTTTGACTGAGCCATTGTGTTTTTGGGAAAAGACCCCACAACAGCTGCCATTGTTAAAGCATGAGGCCTTTTCTGAATCAGTGATATGGGGAGGATTTACTCTCCTCTGTCGGAGGAAGAATATATATAAATTGTTGCAGAGGAGCAGAGCCGTTGTTTTCAAACACAGGAGTAATTGCAACTTGTTTCTTTTGTCTAATGTTTTAGCCCAATCTAAACATTTCATATGAACCGTATGTCCCCTTTTATAAAACATATGCTGTGATTAATATTATATTACTACTATATTTCAGTAGCAGCCATGGGATGTTCAGCAGCTCCTTCTCTTGTTTGCGATTTTTTATTATGTTGGTGGCAAGACAAGTAAGACTTGTTTAAAATAAGACACAAGCTTATTTAAAATGACAAATGTGTCCCCACCTGCACTCCTCATCACTCTTTATAAGGGGGTCTGAGCCGACTGTGCCAACCAAAAACTTTGGACTTAGTAAGGGAAGTCTGACATGTTGTAGGACCTGTAAAAGACAATACACACGTGTAAATAATGTATTAAACCTTCTTTAACCATTTTCCCTAGCTTGTTACAGACCTGTGGCAGCTGCGGCCTGCGCTCCTGGATGCTGTACTTGACCCACGCCATCACCGCGTTGAAAACCTGCTCCTCACTTCGCACATTGAGCTCATCACTGGAGATGATGTCAATCAGCTGATTGGCAGGAAGGAGCATGAACTCTTCGCTCTCCATTACCTACGAATAAGCACAGACACAAACAGCCAGTCAGCAGCTTGGCACAAACAATACACTTTGACAAACGAGAAGCAGTAATGGCTGAAGACGGGAAATGTCTTTTACTCAGCAACATTTCAACACGTTCAGATCGATAGAAAAATATTCTCCATATTCAAGTGCATTCAATTAATTCAACATGCTATTCAACAATAACTTGGAAGTGGAGTCGGAGCTGTGATGGAATAGAATATGTAGAAAAGTAGTAAAAGATGCAGAGGACGCTAATGAAACAGTGAGTAGGTTAAACGTCTGCTTGTGTTGAGATTTACTGCCCGTTTCCTTTAGCCAGCATGACCTGATTTTGGTGATATCTCAATCAAATAAATAACAGTTGATATTTTTGTCTATGTTCTCACATCTGAAGGCTTTGAAACATTAAGAACCGTCTTCATGCACAGATCCAAGGGTGATGTTTATTTCTCTTACAAACCGTGAAAGAGTAATCATTTGGAAACTGAAAAAAGGGTCATGGCACATTTCTATTACAAATATAATAGTGGGGTGTCAGGAACTATTGATGGAAGATTTTTTTATACATTTCATATCTTAAACACCGTGAGCTAATGACTGAGGTCAAAACGACATGCATGCAAAAACTTTTAATAGACAATTTTCAGAGCTAGGAACTAGGGGTGCAACGGTTTGAAAAAAATCATGGTACGGTTCGTACCTCGGTTCGGTTCATTTTTCCCAAAAAAAGTGTCTTTTTAATAAACACGGCTCATGTGGACTCGGCACCTGCTCTGACTGCCCCCCCTGACCTAGAAATGAATGGATGGATGGAAGGAAGGCATATTCCATCCATCCAATTATGTCTTTTTAACATAATCAGTGAAAAATAACACAAAGTGCAACATAAGAAGGCACTTTATGAGGGTATTTACCATCATATATTAAACCACCTTCCTGATTCTCCCAAGGAGGCGGCCCATTCTGGGCCCAGTCCAGCCTCATTCACTGCATTTATTTAATTTTTGGCATTATCAGTTGGGACTGGGATATTAGTACTGGGCCTTTGTCTTCCATTCCTCCGCTGCTGTGTCAGTACCTGCGCTGTGTGCCTGTGTGACTGTCGTAGAGGGGGCGTGTCTTCAGCGCCAGACTTTTCATCTCCCAGTCTGCTGTGATGAAGTTCTCCGTTCCGCTCATGGATCTATTATAGGTTCCGCGGGACGTCCAAGCGTCAGTCGTGAGCGCAGCTGAGGATGCGCGGGAGAGTTGACTTTAGCCCGGTCTGACTGTGCGTAAAGGAGCTGCTTAAATGCCGCGGCAATATGCGGTCGATGAGACGCTTTTTTTCACTCATGTCTTTCTTTTGCCACAGTATTTACACTCTGACAGTTTTGTCGAATATTAATTATCAGTGTAGTTACAGTGAAGCCAAAATGCTCTCATACTGGGGATTTAAATGACGCGGGGCTTTCAAGCTCCTTCGTTCCTCTGCTCGCAGTGACCGCGCTGTGTGTGGACTGAACAACGTGCGCACAATTTTTTTTTCATAAATCAAACCGCGGATCACGTCTGTATCGAACCAAAGACGTTGAACCGAACGGATCACGGATCATTGATGAACCGTTGCACCTCTATTAGAAACTAGTACTTTTTGTCTGTTATATTGACGTATTTGAAAATATGTGCAGTTTCGAAATAAATTAAATATATAAAAAAGTTACATGGATTTTTTGTGGTTTCCCCCAAGTGAACCAGACTTGGTCCAGGTTAAGTGTAATAGGCCGATGAGTGGTGAGTTGCAATGCGAACCCACCTCCTGGAAGTTGTGCTGAGTGAACTTGTCAGCGATGCGGAGCAGCTCGCGACAGGAGTGTGTGTCTGCAAAGGCCCTGATGCCCAGACAGTTGGAGGGATCCAGCTGCCTCTTGAGGAACTCGCAGCACGCCTCCTGGATCTCGGCCAGCTGAAGGAGGCAAGCGGCGGGGAGCAGCGTTTGAACATTCCCCTCCTCCACCGTCACCTGAACAAAAGACGCAAATTTACAGGTTACTGTGGAAGAACAGGTGACAGACTTCATTAACAACACCATGTTCAAATAATCCAGAACAGAACAGACATTCCAGATTGTAGGGAGTCAACGAATTATAAAACTCAAATGGAACATGAATGTGCAGCCAATAAATAATATAATAATCTTTACTCTTTTTAGTGCGCTGTTGCGTGTGCGATTTTAATGTTTTCGTTTTTAAACTACAACTACTACTATTATTATGTTTGTTTCGTGTTTTTTAATTGGAATGTAGATTTTAACGTTTATGATTTATGCCTGATGTGATAAAGGTTGTGAGGAGCTTTGTATTGCCTTGCGTAGGAAAGGTGCTCTACAACCAAAAGTTGATTGATTGTTATACTGCTTTCTGTTTAGTTTCTCTACAGTGTTTTTCCTGCTGTATATTGTTCTAAAACCTAATAATTAAATGACTTTGTGAATGCTCCTTTCATATCATATGGTTGTGCAAAGATGCCTAACCATAAAGAGAAAATAAGTTAAACTATACCATTAGCAGCAAAAATAGAGATTGTAGAAGCATAAATATGATTACCACCAAATACACAGTTGAGTGGTTCAATGAGACGGAAAAAAGGACAACATAATGTGTCAGCACATTATGTTCCTGATAAGCGTTCCAAACTTCACCATACTTCTGCTCATAGTAACAGATGCACATACTTTCAATTCCATAGATTTCTTCAGGGGGACCTACAAACATGCTCCACAGCTTAAGTTATGTAAACACATTATGGCATCTATCACATCTCTGCAAGAGACAAACCATTTTCTAAGGCATTGATGTTCCTGTCTTTTTGCATTTGGATTACTATCTTCTGCCAACGCTCATGGTTAGATCTAAAATAAAAAGTTATTGTGGAAAGTTGACCGTCGTTACCTGTGAGGTGTAGGCAAAGTCGATGAGGAGCTCCATGGCCCTCTCATCGATGTCACGGATTACAACTTCAGTTTGTCTGCTCTCTGCCAGCTCTCCCGTAAACATTGCCCTGTAGAAACAATGTTACTAGGGATGTAAAAAACTATGAATTTTCATGACCAACCACCGAGCCTCATTAACCGGTTGAAACCGGTTAACCGCGTAGTTTAAAATAGTCCACGTTCTTTGAAATAACAGCCATTTCGAGCCGCGTACTTTTCATAAGTGCAGCTGAGCGTTCTACGGGATCAGAGCCGAGACAGCGGCGCCAAATCCCGCAACAGCTTCGGCACCTTTGCGCACAGAGAACTGCTGTTTTAATCTTCCCATTCTTCTGTGCTGCGGCTTAAAGCATTTTTAAGCAAAAGACAGCTCGTCCACATGGTCAGGGCAGCGAGTGACGAGCCGCGTCTCGCAGGTCTCCGCTAAAGTTTAAAAGTGATCAGTGTTGAGCTGATGCCAAGGACCAGCAGCACAAACATGGTCCATGTGGTTTGACTGGAGCCGTGTATTTGTAGAATGCTTTGGGCTCCGTGACACAGAGGAGCGCGACAGACCGGTATGTGTGTGTGTACAATACATGTATGTATGTGTGTATATGTAAGCTATGTGTGTGTGTGCAATACATGTATGTATGTGTGTGTAAATATAAGCTCCAATGTAGTTCTGACCCGCACCAGTGTGCAACTAGCAGGCGGTAACAGAGGGGAGAGATGATGCGTGTGGATGTTACGTGTCAATGGAGGGGGGGGAAATGTGTGTGTGTGTGTGTGTGCGTGTACATGTGTACGTGCATATGTGGCGCGTACGGCGTGAGAGTCGGCCGAGAGTTTACTGTTACATTGCCGCACACAGCTAGATAGGGACCCGCTCGTCACATCGTGCAAATAGGGCATAAAATAGCGTTATGAAGAGACCTCCCCTCTCCCCTTTTCTCTTTTTTAACCGACAGCTTTGACCGGTTAACGCTGTGACGGTCAACCACCGGTTAAACGGTCACCGATTTACATCCCTAAATGTTACAATATTGTATTATGGATCAAATACATTCTACATTTTATCACAAACACACAAAGTCGCTATAAACTGAAAAGTTTGAACCATTTTGAAACAAGAAAATTCAGAACTATGCAGTGAATGTAGTATCTGTTATTAATCAAGCAATTGCACAAAAATAAATTCATTCATTCAAAAATGCAAAAGTTGAATATTGAACATGTGAAAAGTAAAAACTGAAATATTGATTTGTCTGATTCAAATTGTATTAAAAAAATGCAAATATAATATAATAAGTATCGTTTAATACATTTTATGGGAAGCCTATTTCAGAAGAATGTTGCTAAATTAATATAATAATAGAAACCAAAAGTTTTGATTTTTACACTGATCAATTTTACAAAAGGATTAATCATAATAACAACAAAGAGGGACATCTCCTCAAACATGGTCAAGTTGAAACCGATAGACTAAGTTACAGCGTGCCACATCTGGACCTGATGTCTTTACCTGAAGTAGGGGCTGCAGGCCGACAGAATGACCCGATGGGCGTAGATCTTCTTGGCGCCCACCACCAGCACCACGTCGCAGAGCTCGCGGTGCTTCCGCAGCAGGTTGATCACCTCCAGAGTCTGTCGTGGGTGTTTGTCTGAGACATAGGGCATGCGCGCGGGCTGGGGGACCCCTTCAGGGAGCTTGTTGGGGTCCCCCAGAGTACAGCGGCTGGTGATGTCCATTCCAGTGGCGTCTTGGCGTGCGCTGGTGGCCCTTGTACAGGGAAAACAAGTTATTATTTATGCATGTTTCTACTTTTCTACCTACTATAAAACTGGCCTTTGTCCAGGGACAACGGATGAAAAATAGCCTTGTGGCTAATTCTGGTACATTTACAGTAATGTTCATTAACGTACACTGTCCCTGTCAAATAAACAAATAAATGGATAGAATTACAGGCACGCTTTATAAGAATATAAAAATTAATACTAATCAAATGATCCATCATGATCGAAATGTACATAAAAATGTACCACTCTCATGTGGCAGTAACGATGCAAAGGGCTGCTTACACTCATAAGTTTAGGAGACAAGCTGAGCCTGGGACAGGCCACATGAGTCTTTAGCAGTGTGGTTGTATGTTTTAACTTTAAAAACGCACAACGCAGTGTTAGTTAATTTTCTTTTACTCATAACATATTAGAAAAATATATATATTTTGTTCACTACACCTATAAAAAAACTACATTTTTAGCCAATAGGTAGCATAATATTATTTATTATCAGATAGGGCCAAGACAAAAGGAGAAAAAGAAACAGACTTACATTGAACTCATATTAAGGATTTTGACACCTCTGACCTTTGTTAGCACAAGGGTTGGAAACCTCCCTGTCACCAGATCCATTGGGGTAGTTTCTGTTTCAGTAAAGACCCCACTATATTTTTAGAAGGTGAGCACTTCATGGTTTATATTTAATGAGTGAGCTGGAAACTCCTGCTGGAAGACCAAGTGTGTGTCATTCAGCTGTCCATGTGAAAACAACACACGCTCCATTATAGAGCTGTAGGCCATCCTCTCAGACTAGGGTTAGATCCAGCTGTTGAGCTTTTAAGCATAGACAAATCAACAGACTGCAGCACATGTTTGATCTGCAAAACATGTGCTGCACACAGGACTTGGAGGGACCGGTCCTGCTCTTCAATAAAGATTGGGGCCAATCTTTCAATAAAAATAAATATTTAAAAGGCCAAACCTACCTGCGCATTGGCTTTGCGTCCATTCACTACAGAACAAAGTTGAGCTCTACAACTTGTAGTTAACCTAAAAAATAAATAATTATGATCAGGACAAGTCATTTACATTTACACTGTAAGTGCAAACTTAACTTTCACAATTTATATCTCTGGGGAATAAAAGAGCTGCTTTTACCCATTTGGTTACTAAAGGCATACATTTATATAAACTAGCGGTCAGACAAAGATGAATGCACAAGTAAAAACTAGCAGCTGCTGTTTATGTTGAGGTCACTTGCTGTGCGTAGACTGTTTTGTGACATTTGTTTGCTATTCAGCACATGCTAACAGAACAGTCTGCGTCATTCTGACAGAACTCTCTAAATGAACATATTATTCAGTAGGCCTAAGTAACTTTAACTTGATGAATAAGGACAAGCAACACCTCACATTATATTTAATTAGAATGAGCTAATGTTAACTCCAGGAGCTAACGCAGAACTACTGCCAATAACTCACAGTAAAACAATGCTCTAATATTACTCACTCATTGGCCTGACGCTAATCCACAGGGTAAAAGACCTGACGAAATACGTTCACTTATGACAATTACAAACAGCACAATTTGGCCATCATTTGTTCGGTGCAGTCCTCGGTGTGACCAAAGGGAGACTTCCCCTGAGGGACTGTGGACAGCACATACATCAGACTGATGTAGCCACGGGTCAAAAGCATCAGTCTGAGATCCAGTCCGGACTGAGACAAACCTCACCTTGTGCTTCCATTCCAGCGGCGAACAGAAGTCGCTTTGATCACTAATGTTTACAGTTTGATGCCGACGTTTAGCTGATGGTTTTCCTCCCACTGAACTGCGCATGTGCAGAATAAACCTGGGTTTCCGGACAAAGCGCTTTCAAAAGAAAGGATTAAAATGACGTAATTGTTTAAGAAAGGGTGAATAATTATAATATACAGTCTATGAGAGTGAAGCACGAACAGCTACTTATAGTCGAGTTTGTATCTTGAAATATGAAGTTCAATATTGTTTTACAAATCCGTGAATAATTCTTTTGATAACAATTAGCGCAGTGCTGACATAACCGCTTCTGTGCACGGATGTATGAACATTTCTTTACATTTTGTTTTACAATTCTAAAAACGTCTTAGTTTTTAAATTCTTTAAACTTCGAGACATTTGTATCAGAGCACCCCCATTTGACCAACAGATCGGGCCAACACAGGCCAACACAGGCCAACACCCTAAATCAGGCATGTCAAACTCAGTCTCGTGGGCCCATTGGTGGTTCTGGGACATCAAATCACGTCATAATTATTTTCTCAGGAAAACAACTAATTTGAATGTAAACTAACATTTTAACCCAACAAATCAGATGATGAACAGTTTCAACATAAATCAATGTGATTTACTTTATTTGGTAGTTTGTTAAATTTGTTTTCAGAAAAAACAAATGATACTCATGTGACATTAAAGTCATGTAAAAGAATACCCTCATAATGTAAAAAAAATTCCTTCAATTCTTTCAGTCCCCGACCAGACCGTTTTATTCAGTCCCTGATCAAAGTGAGTTAGACACCCCACCTTAAAAGGTGATGCATCATGGATCGCATGAGGTACACAGAACGTCTGAATCATAACCGTCTGACCACGCCATCAAGGCTACCTCTAAAATAGCTGATTCAAAAATGTGAGATGGTCTGTTTTGAGAGCAAAAGGTTTTAATTAAGTTTATCATTTCAAAGCTAAATGCTACAGATTTTAATTAAAAACTGATTTAAAGCTAGTGCATCATGCATGTGGTCTGAAAGACATAAGCAAACTCATTCACAAGCAATATTTCCTTTATTTGACCCAGAGTGAACCTTTTACATCAGTATAAGCCTTTCCTCAGGCCTGTATTTTACAGATTCAAGGCCATCACATCAACTTTAAATGTATTGATCAGTCAAAAAAAAAAAAAAAAAATAGACATCCCTCAGTGTCGCCTGTCTCAGTACAATGGCAGAAGGTCATGTTCAAATTAAACTTCTGTTTAATCTTTTCAACCCCACCACTAATCTTAAATCAAATTACACTAAAGATAGACCTCATTTTACAACAAAGTGCCTTATATTTTGTTTCAAATAAATTAAATATCTTACAAATACATGTATAAATAAATCTATACATTAATAATCAAATGATATAATCTCTTAACTGATGAGTAATTCCATTCATATTATTGAAAATTAGTTCTCCAGATAATGCGGATCTCAGGCGTGGCTGACTGGCAGCTGTGTCAAAGAGTGGGAGAGGAGCGGCTGCAGCAACAGCGGATCTGAATTGGGAACTTGAAAGAGAAAATTAATTTGTACTCAATATACTCCAATATTTGTAAAATACACATGGGTGGGCATTTACCATCCATGTAGGCGAGTGTGGTGAGCAGAGGTGCGTCTGAAGTCAGATATGTACTGTACTGCAGGTCGTCCATCAGAGGAGGGCTCAGTTGATCAGGAGCCAGAGACGCCAGCAGGATGGGAGCTGCAGGAAGAGGACTAACATGCTTCTTCTGACGAGCTCGGCAGTTCTGAAACCAAACCTTACAAAAAAGTTTGTTTTTTAATATAAAATAAAAAAATAGCTGGTGCTATGAGACTTGGGTGGCATCTCTGATTGCCACCCCCCTGACCCAGAAATGGATTTAAGGGTAGAAAATGGATGGATGGATGGATGGATAAAATAAAAAAATAAAATCGTATTAGGTGATTGACCTAGTTATTTAGAGCATACCTGTATAACTCTCCGACTGAGTCCGGTTTGCTCGGACAACTTCTGCAGAGTCTGAGCATCTGGGTTGTTATCATTTGCAAATTGGTTTTGCATGATCTAAAATGTACATATGAATTGTCATTTAAAAACATGGCAAACACTACCAAAAAATTTAAAATAGAAACTATTCAATTCAAAAGAGATATTGAGTTTAGTTTTAATGTTATATAGTAAATATATTAAGGGCATTGATTGTCATTAGAAACTAGAAATATACCTGTAACTGTTCAACAGTGAAACTTGTCCTGGCTCTCTTGGCCGGCCGGAGCACAGAGTTTGAACAGTCCTTGTCAGACATCTCTTCTTCAGTTCGCTGTTGCTCTTTGAGAGACATTTTAGAGTTTAATTATTTACATATAAAACCAATAGTGTATAAACATTGACACCCATTCATACAGTTTAGTCTAACCATTTTCTCTGGCCCGCTTTAGATTGTCCACCATTATGTCGTAGTGCGTTCGGCAGAAGATGCGGTTCTCCAGGAGTCCACACTCTTCCCCGGTGGACAGCTGTCTCTTGCAGGAGGTGCAGGAGAAGCACGCCATATGGAAGGTGCTGCCTCTTGCACGTCGCACCCAGTCACTGGAATTTATGTTGCGGCCGCAGCGAGCACAGCGCGTCCCATACCTCCTGTAAAGACAAGCCCCTTTTCTTCATGATCATTGCCAAATAGATCTACGGTATGTTAACTTACTCAAGTTAATACATTTAATGCTCTGGGACATGTTATTCAGCACCAGGAACATGAAAATACCAACTTACCTGAAGTAGTCAAGTTTGCAGAAGACTTGTTTGTCTTTGATGAAGCAGGTCACATGACGACCCAGGGATGTGTTGCACACACTACACGAGAGGCAGCGCACATGCCAGCACAGGTCATTTACCTGAGGACAGTATTCAAATACATTTAAACTTCAACTGTTTATGATAGTTAAGGAAAGTATTCTAGATAGCTAAGTTTTCTAGATAGCTATACAATATATTACATTTCAGGAGTGCAAGCGCAAGTTACAAAAGTATAAAACATTTAGAAGGTATTAAAAAGGAAGTGAAAACTAAAAGTATTTTTATTTTGGGCAGAGTAGCAGTTTCTCATTTCAAGTGAGAAATAGTTGAACACTGTTATTCCGCCAATATATCAAATAAAAAATAATTACTGCCATGTCAGCACTTGTATCCTCCTTTTAGCAGTGAAGTTGATAATGACGACATTAATGACACCTCTAAGCCAAAAGTCTATGTTCTCACGAGATAATTACTTTGTGGCTGCTTAGTGTTTGCGTTACCTTGAGCAGGTATCTGTCCACTATGTCCAGGCCGCAGGAGGAGCACACCGGGCTGCACTGCACGGAGGAGGAACAACTTGACAAAGACGAGGGAGAAAACGAACTCTCCTCGAAAAGATCATCGGGACCTGAGGAGCTCTGTCAAAAAAGCATCACATCAACACGAGACTTTACGATGCCGGGTTCACAGTACAGCTAGCAAACGAGGCTAACTGTAAACGTCATTTGAAAAGCAGAATAGTCAATGTTTTGAAAAGTTTGAGGGAGGATATATTTGGCACCTACAGTGTCCAGCAAAAGGCTGTCGTCTTCATGGTGAAGAGAAAACACGTCGTCCAAACTCGAGTTTTGAAACTCGTTCATCACCTGAGACCTGGAGGCTAGAGAGTGGGCTTTGGACTAAGTGAGGCTTTGGTTTTAGACCGGAGTCAGGACTGAGGACAGGTGCGCGACTCTAGGCCATGTCACCGAGAGAAGCACCCAGTGACAGGTCCCTCATTAAAGGCCTCTGTCATCGTTTCACAACACTACTTATAATGGAGTTCAGAGCCATTCAGTCCACTGCAATCGAGCATTAAAGAATACGAATACATACGAGCACATGAGACGCAGGGACGGATTGAACACTGCGCACACCTGAGACTGATTGACCCTATTATGACGCACGTGCGCGTAATCAAGGCAAACGTCCTGCGCGCGCCATACATACACCATGAACACATTCAAAATACCATACAATACCATACAAACACATTAACAATATTATAAACGATATGGCAGTGCTTCAAACAAAGGCCCTTTTAGTCACTACAGCTCCTGGCTTGTGGATAGAGGCTCTTGGACACCAATAAACTTATTTGGTATATGAATTAAATCAAGGCCTATAAGCTAAATACTAATAAAAGGCCGTTTATCCTACCATTACGGATACACCCAACCATACATTCTGTCTTCTACATATAGCATGGTTTTATATTGGTACATAGTCATTCACTTGGCCTATAAGTTTTGCGCAGAAACTTACGTCATTAATGTCAATAATGTGTAACATGTACAATATGTCTTATAATGTATTAATTAAAGTTATCCTGAATCTGAAAACGTGTGCGTGTTTATAAATCTCGTACCTTGCTGAACATCTCCGCTTCAACGCCTCCTCACTTCATTCCCGTCAGGCAGATGTTGTCCACAGCTGCACTGGGCCCGGAGCTCCTCAGAGTCCCGTGTCCCGTGTCCCGGTGCTGGTGCCGGTGCTGGTGCCGGTGCTGGTGCCGGTGCTGGTGCTGGTGTGTGAGACTCTTTATTCTTTCGCCCCTTTTACTTTAAGCGGAGCGCATGTTGAGTTCAGGGGCGCCTCCCATCACCCCACCCCACCACTTCTCCTGATCAAACATATAAATAGAAAAGAAAAACAGTTTAGGTCTAATACACGAACACAACGATGTTGGGTTGTAATAAAAAAAAGTTAATGGATTGACGAGGTTTTAGATAACCTCTGTCTTTCGATGTTCAATGATTTAGTTTATAGCAGTGGTATAGGTCTTTGTTAAATATATAAGATAAGACAGTGGTATCTATACATTACCTGGGCAAATAGGCAACTTGAATAAACACATTTCCTTACATTATTTACAGTGAAGATAAATATTAGTGTATAAAGCCAATAAATATGACGCCTGAACCCTCCCCTATACACTAAAAACATGTAGGTCTGGCATGCGCCTCCTGCAATTGTAAACCGCTTTGTGACTCTGGTCTGTGAAAGGCGGTATATAAATAAAGATTTCTTACTTACTTACTTACTGTTTAATTACCCACATTTCTTTAGAATTTTGTTGCCTCTTGCCTCTCGCTGCTGAAATTACTCACCCATTGAAATAATCCCTGGTGCAAGTGAGAAGATTATTCTTATAATACAATGACAATCATTGGTAACTATATTTCTTTATTAAAACAAGGTTTGTATGTTGTTGTCTGAACTGTGCAGTTGTTTATCACACTGACGTACAGTAGTTCGTGAGTAAGGGCCATGTTTGTTTCTGGGTTTGGTTTCCCCTTTTGAGCCAAAAACATCCGAACATCCCAAAACACACATTGTTTATGGTTTAAACTTAAGTATGTTTCTTTCGTTCGATGTGACTTATCTCAGAGAGTTTAGGGCAGTGACTGTTCCCATGAGTTTCAGATTGTTCACTGTGATTAAAATGTTACAAAGAAACACTGGATGTGTATTTGCATATGGAGATATGGATAGATCTAAATACAAATACATAACTGTGATCTGAAGATACTAAGACTATGCTAAAACACCTTTTTCTTTTTGAACAAACGACATGTGAAGTGAAAGAAAAATATTATTGTTATATTTATTCGCGAATGCTTGTATTTATTCAAAATAAATAATTATTTTATGGGACCCCTTTTGCACCAATTTGGTGTATATAAAAAGCTATGTGTATATATATATATATATATATATATATATATATATATATATATATATATATATATATATATAAATAAAGCCCAAAACAAAAAAAAGCATTTTTTTCCTTTCATTTCACAATCTGTTACTTTATAAAGAAATAAAAAATGTAATTGATATTATTATGTTTGTGAATAAGTACAGACTACTGTACAGACTTTCTTCTCCATTGAGATTCAGGTGGCAGATTAATGGTTATTTCATGCAACATACAATTGTAATATATCTATTATTAAAGCAGTGTTTTGTCTTTTCCAGTATTTTGAAAAGTGGAAAACAAGCTTTCCTTCAGGTTTTATAAATATATAATAAACAGGTATGATATTTTTGTTATTGAAATTAGTCAAATTCAAAAGCCTTTTTATCTATTTGCTTACATTGAGCCTTTTAATATGTTATGTCTGCTCTTTTGACAAAGTAAACTGAATGTTTATTTGTATTTTTTATAGTTTTTTTAGGAGTTAGGTCTACACTACATAGTGATACAATTTCTGTATAATAAAAACAAATACAAATAAACCCAATAAATAATGATTTCATTCATTCATTCAATGAATACAACATCTAATACAAGAACTCATCCTGTCCCTCAAGCTTTAATGCCACCAATCACTGTGACAACACAAATGAACAGAGGGATTCTGGGTACTGTATTTCTCTGACAACAAAGAGTAAATGTAGATCTGGTGGAACCACATCTGGGCTGTGTTAGTATCAGCGTCAATGACAGATGACTTTTGTTCTGTTCAACGACGCAACATGAGGCTGAAGGTGGTCCGAGCTGACTGAGGAGGAAATTACGTCGTCCACATAAATGTTTTTTAGGCCTCCAAGCCAAATTTAGTGCACTTCAAGGGATGTATTTATGATCTAAAGGTTGTGATATCACCATAACAGTAACAGCACCTCAAAGTGCTTTACAAAAGAAGAAAGGAAACAATGTACAGGCAGTCAATCCATGAACTAATAAATCACTGCTGGTCAACAGTTGGATTTCAATATTGTTAAAGTAGAAGGATGTGCCACATTTTCAGGAAGACTTTTCCAAATGTTCACCTCCATTTTTAGTTCTCACTCTGGGAAACGGCAAGAGGCCAGTCCCTGTGCTCTTCTGAGTCCCAGCAGGAGGCCAGATCCTGTGCTCTTTCAAATCAATCAATCAATCAATTTGTATTTTATCTGAGGCTGGTTTCCATTGATTTGTTTTTGATCTGAAAAATATGATCTGCCACATTTGAGCTGTGAAAGATCTGGCTAGATTTTCCTGCACTTCTCTCCATAATCATTACCCACTAATATAATTAAATACATACATAATCAAACTAAATCCCCCTCAAACATGACTCTGCTACTATCTGATTCAGTGTAGTTTTCTTTACAAACGTCGTATCCATCTCTCCCTCCACTCCAGCCTCTGTCCGCTCGCCTCTGGAGGACGGCCTGGTCCCATGCCCGCCTCGCTCACTGCTCAGATCTGAATCAGGTCTGTGGACTGACGTTCTTTGATGTAACTACTAAAATGCTTTGTTAATAAATAATAAATTAAGATTTCAGTCATCGAGCAAATGGCACCAATATACAAAGACTATATAACTTTCACCAGTTCAAACAAAAATGATTATCTGAATCTCTTCAGTTCTCTGTCAAGAACAAATAAATATTAATAATTGAACGTATAAAACTCCAGGAAATCTATTCGCAGATATTTTGTCAATACTGTATTTGACTCTGACTTCCCTGAGCGCCCGGTTTAGTGCTGACAGACCATTTTCACTATTCCTCCTCTGTCACACGCACTTCTACTCTACAGTTATACAACAAATGGGAGAAGAAAAACACCATGTCAGCCTGAGTTTCCTTTCACTGCTGCTTCTGTAAATGCCATTGAAGAGCTGAGTGCACGTTTGCTCCGATCGCAAACAACAACTTCAAGCAAAGTCCTTTCAACGACTAGTGATCGGTGACCAGTCCCGACTGTGAAAAACACATGGTCTCAAGTGAATGTGTTTGTGATTTCAAGCCACTTCTGACTTCATAAAGTTGGTCTGGTTTGTACAAATATAGAAAAATATATAATTGTCATAGAAAATAGGGCTGTAGCAGATTGAAGAAATTCTTCAATACTATAAAGGTATTGACAAAAATCATTCCATAATTATTTGTTTCCTACTCAAGGCAATACAAAGTGCTTCACACGAGACACAAAACATCACATAACACACCAAAATCACCATTAAAAACACAATTAAAATCAGGTCATTAAAAACATTAAAACATGAACATCACAACATTGAAGTGAAAATCAGCCACTTTTAAACTGTTTTTCTTTTTTACATGTTTGCACCAAGCGCCAAATCAATTTCCTAGTTTGTGACTTGTTGTTCTGATTCTGAGAGGATCTATAGCCCGTCCGTCCGTGTGGAGTGGATCCCTCTCTCAATGTGGATCTCCCAGAGGTTTCTCACTTTTCTCCCCCTGGGTTTTAGAGTTTTTCCTTGCCGTTGCAGGAGGGTCTGTTGGGCAGTTCGTGTCCAAATAGAAGGACTGTGGTGATGATCCAGGACACTTTAACATTCTACAACATGTATGGACATTTATCAACATTCAAAGACATTGGTCTCTCCCTATGGACCAATACACATGTGTATTCTTTTGTGTCTTAACTGTTGATTCTCTGATCTGTGGTTTTGTTAAGTCCTCTGAGATGACTATTGAGATTTAGGGCTATACAATAATAAGTTGAAATTGAAATTGAGAGTCAAACCTTTGAAGACAAACAGATGAGACCCGTCCATGCTCATCCCCGCAGCCGGTGATTGGTCAAAATAAATTAAAATCCTTGAGACCCCCACCATTGGTTTAACAATTCTGATCTGGCAAATATCACTGGTCAAAGGGGAGAGACTATCTGAAACATGTTATTGATGAAAAATAATGTCCCCTGTTAAGAAATGTACTTTTTTGATATCACCTGCCCAAGGACACAATGACAGCAGAGTTCAGTGGGAGTAGATTAAGCCACTAAGCAGAATAATTCATGCTCTCACCTCTGTCTCCACCCAACTGCTCTCTGCTGTTGTATTTTTTACTATTTTTAGCTACTTTGTTAGCTAGAATATATATATTTTGTTGTATGGATGAATATGTTTCTACTGCTAATAGACACCCGAATTTCTCCTACGGAGGATCAAAAAAGTGTCAATCTATCTATACTCATGGAATGGCCAAACTGCAATAATACATCAATATATTGTATATACATTTTTGTCACAAACTATTGGCTGTTCCACATACACAGTTATTATTGTATACTTGTACAATGATAATTACATTTTACACAACATTTATTTAGTAACAGATCTGTTTAGGGCCATTAGTTCATGGACCATGAACTAATGTGATGGAATACTACACTGTGCGTCGTTTATAAGTTGCTTATTAGATCAAAGCTGAGATCAAAGCCGCCTCAATCACTCCTCTGATAAAAACTAAAAGCCTGACTCACTGTTGTTGTCACTAAACTTTCATCATGTCTTTAGCCTGGACACCACTGTTTATCAAATAATATCATAACCATCACAGTACAGCCTTTGATTCTAAAATTGGACTTCCAACTCACACTAAAGTTTATTTTAGTCCCTCTCAGACATCAAT